TATATATATATATATATATATATATATGTGTGTGTGTGTGTCTTGCTAACATACTCTCGTCTATCTCATACGTTTTCTTAAATGCCAAAATTTCTAATTTTTTCCCTCGAGTTTATTATTTTCTATATTATTTGAATTTTGAAAATATGTCATTTTACCCATTTACTTTCCATCTAATATCCTGGACACAAACCGAATGTAATTACATCATGACTAACATATTCATCTCACCTTTATAATTATCTTTCTTTATTTTACGTTTTGGTCGTCATATATAAAAATTGTAAATTTTTATTTTTAACAAATAATTTTTTTTTCAAAGACATTATTAGCATATTATATAAAAAAATTAATGATGAAAGACTAACATATTTATAACTATAATAAAGGAGATTGAATTTTTAGGTATACATGTGATGCATGAATCTCTCTCTTTTTCTTTTATCTTTCACTCTCTCAGTCTTTCTAAACACTTTTTTCTTATTTTCTCAAGGCTCAATATCTAGTAGAGGAAGGAAACTTGGCTTCCAGGTTGGAATTCTTGTTCTTCTCCATTCCTCTTCTTCAATATTATTCTCATCTTCTTGGGACTTCAAAAATTGGGGTTAGGGAAGTTCACTTTCAACTTGTGTGGATTGAAAATGTTGATTTCTTAATGATGAAAATGATTTGTACACTTGTTGGTTGAGTTGCTTATGTGTTGTTTAATGTTGATGGTGTTATATTGATGTGTTGCAATAAAAATATGTTGAGTAGATAAGGTGAAATGTTAAGTTGTATGTTGTTTATGTTGTAAAGTTGATTAAAAGTTGCTAAGTTGTTTAATAAAGTTGATAATATGCTACCAATAGTTGTAAAGTTGATAAGTTGAGGACATAAAGCTAATGATATATGTCTTATGTTAAGATATATAATATTGAGGTAGAAGTTGAAAGTTGTTTTAAAGTTGAATTCCTTAGTACTTATGTGGACAACATGAAAGTAGTCGATCCATGTTATGGTTAAATGACCAAGTGAGTAAGGTGTCTAGTTAGAGATGTAGTCTTTAACTAAGTATTGGAGGGTGCGTAGTACTTGGAGGGCAGTAGGTGGACTAATTCTACATGTTGATTGGTGATGCAAGTCATGGTCGTGGTAGGCTCATACCCAAACCCTTTTGTCCTCACAGGAATACTGGACCTCCGAGTCTAAGTGACACACCTGAGAAATCAACTATTATTGTCTATACTTAGTTTTCTTCGGAGTTTCCAAAGTTGTACTATACCTGACTTGACTGAGATAAGTCTAAAGTTGAATTCAATAAGGTATATGTCACACACACACACACACACACATATATATATATATATGTGTGTGTGTGTGCGTGTGTGTGTGTGTTCTTTAAGTTGATAATTGATTGTTGAAAGTCGAATGTTATGTTCCATTTAGTTGTTTATTATATAATGATAATTTTATATGATGATTGTCTTTGTAAGCTTACCCTGACTGTTTTCTTGTGGTTGGAACTGTTATGACCACACTACTATAAAGTAGATCAGAAGTAGATGCTCTGATGTGATGGGTAGGCATTCTTTTGGCTGAGACTTAGTAGAGGAACTGATATTTTGTTGTTTTCTGTTGTGATCGACTGCCTAGTTATTTTGTATAGGATATTACAATCATTTACTTTCAAAGGTATATGTATATGGAATCTTTAGTTGTATATTCTCATTGTACATATAATTATCTGGTTTTGATGTTTTTATTTTATGCAAATTTCTGTATGATATGGACGATGTTATTGATACACTTTTCACTAATACTATAGACTGTGTGAGATCTATCGGGTCGTTACAATACACAATTTTTATCTAATTTTAACTCATCATTACTATTTTGTAAATTACAATTTTTTTATTCTTTTACGTAAATTTCACTCTATAATTATTTATATTTTCAATAATTACTTACCATTGTATAAATTTTATTATTTATTATTTATAAAAATAATTCACAAAAACACAAAGTTCCTTTCGGTAATCCTGATGATATTTATTATAGTTTGATTGCAGTCTCAGGTCAGTCTATCACTTTCTCAGTTTCTAAATATTCCTTCTCTTGCTCGTGGTTTGCCATTTATGTTTTGACCAAACCTTCCTCGTGGGAGCATTTATGGGATCATCTTACCTTTTTGAGGGATTCTATAAAAGGTCCGTAAGTTGTTTTAGGCGACATGAATGATAATTTTTTTCCTTTTAGAGGTCAAAGGAGGTGCTTACAATTCCTCAAACAACTAAAAATAATAATTTTAAATTTCAAAAATAAAAAAAAAATATTTTAAATTTAAAAGACCAAAAATATATTTAAATTTGTATTTTATTGTAAGTATTTTTCCAGTTCCAATAAACAGTATGATTCAATGCTAATTGGGAGCCTAAGTTTCAATCTTAAAATAATGTTTTGTAAGTTTAGTTTAAGTTATAATTTCAGCCTTAAGCTTGCTTAGGTCTTTTGCTTATGACTCAATTGAAAATATTTGAATAATATTGAAGTTTGTTCATTTTTGAGTGTGATTAGGATTTTTTTTATAATTAGAACTCTTTTTGAATACTATATACAAATGGATGAATTGAATAAATTTTTAAATAAATCATAATAGATTTTATAAAAATTTATTAATCTATTTAAATATATTAAAAATTTACATATAAATTCAATCCATTTTAAGTATAAAAAAAATTCCAATTCATCCATTAACTATTTTTTCTACAGATGAATATCCAATTCATTTATAAAAGTAATGTTTTAAAAATTAAATAATTTTTATTTCTCTTTTTTTTTATAAGTAATTACATTCTTATAAAAAAAATTCGCTATATTTATTTATTTTTATATATTAAAATAGTCTTTTTAAAATTTCAATTCCACAAACATCTTATATTATAATTTAATATTTTTTTAAAAAAATTAATAGATAAATCACTAATTATCTAAAAAAATTAAATAAATAAAATAGATTCAATCAATTATTTATTTTTATTATAATGATTAATTTTGAATCAAATGGATAAGTAATTTCAATTTTCACCCCTAATCTTATCAAAGTTTTTTTTTTTTAATCTTTGTGATAATTCATTGATTGGTTTATTACTCTTTCTTGAGCGTGTGGTCTTCTTTTCTATTTTTCATTTTTTACTTTTTATGCGTGATGTTAATTTTTTTTTTGTTTACTTTATTTTTTGCGCCAATAATATAATTTTTTAAAACTTGCACTATTTTTAGCTCCTACCTCATTTAGCGCTTTTTGATTATAAAATTTTCATTTTCGAGATAACCAACTCAGACGCAAAAAATAAGAGAATTTTTACGGTACCCTATGTAAAAGAAGGGTACCGGTACTGTCGATGACGTGTCGATGATGTGTGATCCAAATCACTTATAATTTTATAATTATTTACAATTCAATATCCACGTCAATTATAATGAAATTCACGTTTTTTAATATTTTTTTGGAGTGTTTGTTTCGTGTTTCTTCCTCTCTTTTTTTCGAAATGTTTGCTTCGTGTTTCTTCCTCTCAGCGGTAATGGTCCCCAATAGGGTTATCACAGGGCTTGGGAGGGGAACCAGTGAGGAGCAAGATGCGGGGTTTACCTCTCACGAAATTAGGGTATTCGGGGTTTTGGAGGAGCCAAGCCTTGCGTTCTTCGTCCCAATTGCGGATCTTGGGGCCCAGGCTGTAGGTCACGTTAGGGTTCAAGGGGGCTTGCTCGTCGGGGTCGTTGGGGTCGGCGTCGGAGCGAATCTCGGCCAGGATGCGGTTGGTCTCCTCCACGAGATTCTGGTTGACGGCGTCGGCGTCGGAGGAGCCGAGGTTGACGCCGATGGTGCCGCGGAGGACGAGGATGTCGTCAGAGACAAAGGTAACCTTGGAGGAGTCATGGTCGACGGTGGAGAGGAGGGAATAGTGGAGGGCGGAGGAGGAGGGGAGGGAGGAGTGGTAAATGGCTGTGGCGAGGGAGTTCAAGAAGTAGGGAGAGGGGTTGAGGCGGAGGGGAGGGGAGGGGAGTGGGAGACGGAGGGGCAAGGGAGAAGTGGGAGACGGAGGGAGGGGAGAGGAGATCGTATAATTATAAAAATATTAATAAAAACTTAAAAATAAATAATGTAAAAATTTAAATATAAAATAATTTTTATTTAAAAGGTTAACATGGCATTTAACATGGTATTTAGATGATGTGTACATATACACATTAATTACAGTACCAAAATCCCTCATTTATCAGGGGTACAGTAGCAACTCCCAAAAAAATAATATGAATCCAATTAGGATAATATCACACTAGAGTCATGTTAGTACCATTAAAACCGATATAGTGAAAGTTGTAATATAATGCACAAGATCCTAGTACTGAATTCGAATTTCAGTACGACTATTGTAAAAAAAAAATAGACACGTGTCCATCTATTTTTATTTTTTTTATGCATCAATTCAAATACAAATATAACAAAATCCTATGTAAATGTTGAACATTCACATTACATTGATGAGGATGAGCATGCATGTAACGTGAATGTAAAAAAAAAAATAGTCTTGATTATTGAAATTGATATATAATAAATAATAGAAATTGATTCATCTATTAAATTGTTGTTCATCAATTCAACGGTTGCCACATTATCTGTTTGTGAC